TTCACACCGGAAACGATACTCATTCTTCACCAATCGATTCTAAATCTTCGTAGGACTCGGTTCCCAAGTTCCTTCGCGATCCCAAGTGTGCTAGTATCCTTCAGGAGCACGATGTGGACTTGATTGGTGCCCCGCGGTCTTACTCTCCAACTCCGGCTCCGGTACCGGAGCGTTCGGCAAGCCGCTCGGCGCGCCCATGAGTCGAACCTTGAAAATGGACCAACGTGGGGCTACACTAATCACTACCTCATCATTGGGATCAACACCAGCTTGTATTGGGATATCTCCAAGCGAGGAATCCACCGAGACCTTGGAGTCTAGTGTGCTCTGAGACACCGCCAGACCTTATGAATCCTGAGTCGGCGCGGTCTAGCGCGACGTTGACCGACCAGCAAAAGTGACTCCTGTTGTACTTGGGGTCTGCTTCCGAACATTTGACTTGACACGACATGATTACACGTTATGCGTCTCCGACTTTTCTTTACTTCACTGCATGAGAGCCTGTGTCCAATTCAGAATGGACGTGGGGAGTTCTTCTTTGGCAACCAGATCACCCGAAATGATTCGTTCATCACGACCGATGAGTGGAAAAAGATGTTTTAACGATCAATGGATCATGTGATAGATGCTGGGACCCGAATTTCTGTTCTCTTAATCAAATTTCCTTTGTCTTTGTTTCCTTTACCCCTTTTTATGTTTTTTTTTTTCTGTCGAACTTGAAGAAGGGAAGGCTGAAACACACCGCTAGTATTCCAGCATTCCAGCATTAGAGAGGCGTTTTTTACCCCCATATTTCTTCTTTTCTCAGGCATCGATGCATTTTCGTGCACACTTCTTTTTCTACTTGGTGATAAATGTGATTGATTGACTGACTTATTGATTTATATGTGTGTATGCCGCCATATGTCCTTTTCCTGTTTCTTTGATACTTTGTGCAGTTGAGTTTGACTTGACCTATTTTTTGCCTGCATCATCGATAGCATATCTGATCTGCATTTTCATGGGTTAACTTTTTGTTTTCTGCGCCATATCCAGCGAGTGAGTTATGTGTGTGTATGTACATGTGTGCCATGTTCTGATTCATGCCTGGGCCTGAGACCCAAGACTTCTATTGAATAACAATTTATTACTCTTTATTCTTGATTTTTCTTGTAGTTACCTTGCGCTCCTCGACATGAACCCATAATAATCGAAAATCACCCTAAAATAAAATCCTTCGTGAGCATCACCAACCGTTAAGAACAACCACCCTCATCAAAGTAAGAAGAACCAATAGTAAGAACCGACAATAGCACACCCATTCCCCTCTAGCGCGGAACCGACATCCATGTAGGATAAAGGAATAAGGCAATGGCGATGGGAGGGAAAAGAAGGACGTTGGAAGAAAACTAAGTACCGTCCAGACATCCATGAATAAAAGCAACAAACACCACATGCCACATGGCCAGCACGTGGTTTTCCTCTGCACGAGGGTGCAGGGGGAGGGGGGTGTGACCGCACGGGGCTGGGGGACGCACAGGGGGGCGTGACCGACTCACCTCTTTGAATATTAGTACAGTACTTTGTTTTGGTTCGGTTGTGGTTGTACCTCTTTCTGCGGCTTCACATGACCCTCCGGGACGATAGATATTGGTTTTTCTTTGAATGGATATGGTGCGATCTACATTGTACACTGGTGCTGGGACACGGACATGAGTCAACCATTTTAACTTAGTTGATCAGAGGTTGAAGGGGGGGAATCGTCACCTTTGTGCAAGAGGCGAGATCGCCCGCTTAGTCAGCTATCCCATCCCGTGTTATGCGTTATGCTCGCTTACGCTGCTGCTCTGCTGTGCCGAGGGGTAACTAAAACCAACTGTGTCTTCCCTTGACAGGCGGGGGAGAGTCAGTCCCATGGTGAAGGGTTTGTTGCGTGAGAAGTGTCACGGAGCATACATAGTGTGTACTGACTTCTGCCGCAGAGCTCAAGGAGGTATGGTATACGTTACCCATACCCTTGCTGGATTTGGGAGGAATGGTCTGAGATCTGAGGGTGGAAGTATGTATGAGAGAGACAGACCCCCCTTGACTTCGCAAATTCAGATTCGATGATCGAGAGTCGGGGATTGTACTCGCCGTACTCGACAGAAACCTTTCAGATACCATGATCTGGGCGGGGACAAACTTTTGTGCTCCATGCTGGGATCTGGGGTCGGAAATAGATGTCTAGTGCCACCGGGCAGCGTGGGATAGCATAGAATCCCTGAGTTTCGATTCATGCTGATATGGAAATAGGTAAGCTAGGGTGAAGGGTACAGTAACAGCACAGTCAATGTCCAGAAGACTGACTACAGTAAACCAGGAAGTTGGGGTCGCGAGCCAGAAAACAACAAGAAACGCCCCAAGCCCAAAAAGTAGATATTACCGTTACGCCCTTCGTAGCATAATCCCAAGAATAGAAATAGTGTCAGAGCTGGCAGATGAGAAAGGGGGGGGAAGAATACGGGTGTATGTATACACATCATCCAAGAAATTTGGATGTTGAAGGAGAGTGGAGGGGGAGTAGGTTGGGTAGATTTGTTTCAGATGGAGTTCTCTCGGTGAGGGTGGTGGTGGTGGTGATGTGTGTTTGTGGGTGACAGGTGGCTGGATGGACGGTTTGTATAAATGAAGAGATGGCTGGAGACTTGACTCATGACTCAAGTCAGTGACTGGACTGAACTCACAGGGTTGGAGGATCTCCTTCAACCCGAAACATCATCAGACAACTCCTCCAAAACGAGTCAAAAGGAACAGGGTGAAACGTCCTTGGTTTCAAGATATCATTCTTCGCGCCTGTTCATCAGTCCATCGGTCCGCCGATCCATCGGCGCAGCTGCCCACCCCACACCAGCACATCCCACAATCGAGGGAACCCCCCTCAAGAAGATCAAGTGAAGATAATCAGGTTTACTTGCCCGCCCAGCCTCTCAGTCGCATGCCTTCCTCAATTGCCGACCAAATGCCTTCGACGACCTCGCGATCTCTCCACCGCCCGGACCCGTTCACCCCGCCCTTCTCGTCCCATCTCTCGACCGAGAAGCTCTGGACCCCACGACCCCAATTGCGGACCTCGCGCGGACTGTCCTCCCCGCGCCAGCCCACATAGACACCCGTGGCGTGTTTGAACAGCTCGGGCGGAGAAGACCACTTGTAAGATTTGAACTGCCAGGTTTGACCCGTGGTGAAGACGGCCACCAGGCGGTTCCAGTAATCCGGCCGGAAGTTGGCGGTGCTGTCCACCAGGATGAAGCGAGTGGGCTTGCGAGAGCCGGAGGAGGACGCGCTGGACCTGGAGTGAGGGAGAGGGGTATTAGAGGAGCTGCCTTGGATGCGCAGGGGTCGATTGATATAGAGAATGTTGCTGTTCGTCCCCGTGGCCAGCGTGGGGTGATCGGGCGGAATGAAGACGCCCTCCTCGAGGAATGAGCGCACATTGGACATGCGGATAAGAGACGATGCGGAAGGCGACAGCAGGATGATCGGATCCTGCGTCTTGGAGCTGCTCTTGCTGCTTCGGGGTTGCGAGAGACCGGCGGACGGCGCAGACACCGGCACCATAGAAGAAGAGGAGGTCGGCTTGCTGCCAGGCTTGGTGACCCCCGCGGGATATTGACCCGTTCGTGACGACCGATTCCGACCCAGGATGGTTTCTGCGGTTTTGCGCACATGGGAAAAGTCCTGAACCACCCCCCAGAATGATTAGCATCTTATGCGTAAACCCACCCACAGGGGACACTCAGAGGGAATGAAACTCACCGTCGGCTTAATCCCCCTCAATACACTATTCCGATCCCCCATCTTCCTCTCCCCATTGTAAATCTCCTGTAACCTCGGATCAATCACCTTGGCCGCCCGACTACCGTGCTGCTGAGCAGCCCCGGACGCCGCAGCCGCAGCAGCCCCTCCCGTCGCACCAGCACCGCTCCCACTCGGCACCGTAGCAACACCCCCGGCCGCCCCCGAAGCAATATTGGCCGACGCCTGAGCCTGCGCACCAACGCTACTCTCCACGCCCGCAGCGGCGGCAGCAGCTGTAGCAGCAGCCGTTGCCGCGGCCGCGGCCGCCCTGGCAGCGGCCTCGCCTTCGAGAGGCTTGATGTACTCACTCTCCTCGGACGCGCCCTCCAGCCACGTCAGGAGATCGAGTCGCTCGACGAACACCAGATTCTGGACCTTTTCTTCAGGCTGCTCGGGATCATCCTTCCGCTTCTCCTTGAGGGCCTGGTTCAGCCCCTCCGCTTCGGCGATATACTCCGGGATCGCAACGTCCTTCTTCAGCCACGCGAAGAAGATACTGCGCAGGTCGACGGCCTCGCCTGTCGTGCTGGAGACGAAGCGCGTCGGGGTGTTGAGGGGGATGGTCTGGGGGCTGCTGCTGCTGCTGCTCGGGGTATGCGGGAAGTACAGGTGGGTGGCTTTGGCGAGATCGAGGTCGGTTTCGGTGTCGGTGGGTCGGTCGGTCGGGGAGGAGGAGGTTGTCGGTCGTGGGGGGTTGTTGGAGAGGAGGGATTGGCGGAGGGCGAGAAGGGGGTCTATGCTGGGTGATGAATTGGTGGCCATCGTGGGTGTCGGTCTCCCGATGGTCCTTCCGGGGAGTGTGATTTGTGGTGTGGTGTGTAGCTTATGAGGTCAAGAGGGTGGGCGAGGTTAGCTGGAATTCACCGCAATATTGGAGCGAAGACCAGAGTTCCGAGTCAGAATTGAGGGAGATTGTCACCGCTCGGGGTGCTTGGGGAATTATAACGGTAAAGGAGGAGAAGAGGAAAAGGGGAGGTGTTACAGCGCAGCTTGGAGGTTGAAGGAAGCCTCAGTTGAGAGCGACTTTCTCGATGCGCGCGCGGAGCACGTGATCTCATCCCCGGAAGTTGGTTGGGGCCTGGCCAACTGGCAGGCCCACTGCTGTCTCTCACTTTGTGAAGTATGAGTTACTCAGACTCTGGGTAGGTACAGTTTCATTTCCAAAACATAAACTAAAGTACTCAAGACTGCATATCACTCCCGAGTTTCCTCATCCAGCTCCAAAACCAGCTCCAACCTCCCAACAGAGCAGTGACTCCTGTAAACAAGATCACTGCTCCGTAATCAGTCGCATACCCCGTGCTCACTCCACCATGAACACCAGCAACAGGACCTCTCTGCATCAACTTCTCACTGAGCGGCCCGCTGATCACACTCCCAATCCCCCTACCCCCGGCCAAAAGCCCAAAGACTAGCCCCGTCTCCAACGTGGGCATCTCCCGCTTAATCTGCGTCAGGACTCCGGACCAGGTGGAACTGAACCCTCCGGCAAAGAAGCCGTAGGTGATCGAGAAAACCGTCAGCAGGGCGAGCGCTGTATGAGCCTGCAGATGCTCGGAGGAAGAAGACAGGTGGTTTGTGGCAGTGGAAGAAAGTCCCCAGAATAACAACACCGATAGCCCCGAGCCCATCGACGACAGCAGCATGATGTTGGAGACGGCGAAGCGATCGCACATGGAGCCCAGAACGATGCCTCCAACAATGGAGGTGGCATTGAACAGAGCCAGAAGGAGGGTTCCGGTCGTTTCAGATAGCCCGGCTGCCGTTGTCGAGTAAGATGGGAGGTAGGTACTCGGGAGAAAGTATCCAAGACTCTGGATGATGTTTCCGAGCTCCAGTGTCCAGAACGTGAGCAACTTTAGGAACGCGAGGTTGAGAGGCTGGGGCGACGTGGACGCCGCGGGAGGAACTCGGGGCTTGATGAAGGGAAGTGCTATCGAAGTCGTGAGAAGCTGTATCATGTTAGGTCAGACTAGGGCCTCAGAATTAGCATGGTTGGTGTTCTCCCCACCGTGATAACTGTCCAGGCTCGTAAGGTGGTTTTCGCTCCGTATCGATCCAGTGCAGCGCTTGTCAAGAAGGGCAAAGCCACGCCGCAGACGCTTTTGCCGGCCCACATGATGCCATATGCAAGGCCCTTGCGGCGAATGAACCACTGGTCGAGAAGGAGCGTCGTTGGGCTGAAGACGAGGCCGTTCCCCAGTCCACAGAGGACGCCCTGGGTGGCTATCAATTGCCAGACAGTATGGGCGAAGGATGACAGTAACGACCCTCCGACGCTGAGAACCAGTCCAACCGGAGCACAGTATCTCTGCATATGAGGGTAGCGGGTCAGGAGGGTAAAACTGATAGGCGATAACAGGTAAAGAATTCCCTACGCGACATCTTCATCAGTCGGTTCCATGGGTGATGCTGAGGGGTATACTCCTACCATCGATGTGGTTCCCACAATCGCCAAACCTCCAGTGCCTCCTTCAAGTTCATCGTGAGACTCGAAATATTCTTGGAAAAGACCGGAGACAAGGGAGAACCCTGCAGCAGAGAGCTCAGTAAACAGCTTCTTCCCATTCAAGAACGAAGCATACCCCACACTGGAAGTTGGATAAGACAGCAGGATGCTAGGATCAGCCATGCTCCTCTGCCTTGGTCGACCGGTGGCAGCAACGGTTGTTCAAGTTCCATCGAAGCCCTCGGTCGAATCTGATCGATAGAAGGTCTTCGATGCGATCGGGATTGAACATTCTCCAGTGCGTAGGAAGCCATGGAAATTAGGATGGAGCGAAGTTGGGGTAAATGACAAGGAAGTGAGGGAAGGGAAGGAAAGCAGAGGAATATACCTACCCCGCAATGCTATCAATGAGGATCTGCAACAACAAACTTCATATACAAGACTCGTGACTCATTATTAATTCATGCAAGTTGGCTGCAATCAAGCAAAGAGACCCAACATCCATTAAAAGAAAATGCGCCTAAATCATCACACACAAGAGCCGAACCATCCACACCTTATAAATAATCTCCTCCATCACAATCAATCACAGCAATCACAGCGGAATCCCCAACGTCTGCTTGATATCCTCCCCTCTCAGCCACTCCTCCATGGCCTCGTACATGCCGCGGAACTTCTCATTATCCTCCATCGTCGGCAAGTCCAGCTTGATCTTATGGCCCAGCCGGGCCTGCGCCGCGCCCAGATACCGATACCCATAAGGGTACGGCGCCAATTCCTCCGCCGAAAACTCGGGGACATTCTTGCCGTCGACGGGCAGGATCTTGTCCTTCTCGTAGAACAGACGCTTGTAGTGCACCTTCCAGCCCGCCGGATCCTTCTGGCACCACATGATAAAGCGACAGTCGCATTCGACGTCACACTCCACCCCGTTGAACACGAAGCGCTGGGTGATGGTGGCCTTCATCTTGCCCACGGCGCGGCCGGTCGCCGGGTTGAGCTCGACGAGGGTGCCGTTCTCGCGGTGCATAATGTGGTCCCCATTGCGCCGGCCCTTCTTGGAGACTTCGATGAATTCATCGATGGGCATACCGCCGCTCCAGGCTACAGACCAAAGACAGATTAATTTTACTGGACCGGACCGGAAAGGAAATGGAATGGAAGGGGGTGGAACGGACTTGTGAAGATGTACGCCTGCTCGGCGAAGCAGTTACGGTAATGGGCCCATTCGGAGGCGTCTCGGTATACCGGCCAGCCTTTGAGAAGCTCGGTCACGCAGAGCCGATCGAGAATCTCGTTGGTGGTACCATTGATGTGGCTGTGGATGGTGGGCTGGGGATCTTCGGCGGTGATGTTGACGACCATGGTGGATATATCAGTAGCTGGGGTTTTGTCTATCGCATTCGAACGATCAATCTCCAGAGATCACATCCCTGTTTATATAGATCTGCTTGTGATGGCTGTTGCCCTCTATTCTTGACTCTCTGTCTTCCGATAAGCCTCGATTCGGCCCGCGTCGTCATCTGAATCCGTCTCTTGATGTCATCATCCCATTGCATCAGGCAACCTCGGTCATGGTCGGTGGAGCTTGCGAGCCTGTGGTTCGCTGAACTGTCTGGAGCCCAATTGCTGGATTACTAGGTACTGCACAGTATGGTTTTCTGAAAGTGTAGGCCGACCAATTCAGCACTTTGAGAGCGGCCATGGGGAGGCTGGCAAGGAACGAACCCCTTACAATCTCTGGGATCTCAGCTTTGTATACATGCGTACACTGTTAGCTTCGCCATAGACAGCGCCCATAGTCCTTGCACGATTTCTCACGAGATCGGATCCATCCTCAGATATCATTCTTAGCAGCCGACAGACGTCATCAACTCCTTTGCTGCTCGTGTCCATGATAAGCGGGTCATGCCTCAACAGTCTGGCCAAGGACGGGGTGTCCAGGCGGAAAAGGTTTTTGCAGGATACCTAGTAGTCTAGACGTTACTGTAAGAGGATGGAATTAGTATTATCCGCCTCGTTGGCTGGTTGGCTGGTTGCTTGTTGCCTGGCTTCAATAATAATGAAGTGGTTGACAGGTGGATGCTCAGGAGTCGACTAGCAAGGGAAAGAGGCGATGTGCTGGAGCAAGGCAACTTGGAAAGGCAGCATCCACCCCGAGACCCTCAGGAACTGACCGAGCATATCTCGTACTGATAACTACAATAGCAACAACATGTGAAAGCAACCAAAGACGCTCTCATTCCTCATTAGCAACCCCGATTAAGAGTCGTCAGTCCCAATGTCCTGGGCACAAAATTTCCTAATAATAAAAGAGGAGAAAAAAAAGATGAGAAGAATGAAGAAAAAGAAATAGAAAAGGAAAGAACAAGAAGAGAAAAAAAAAATAGTAATGAAGACAATCGTGAAGCGAGTGCTGCAGATCATTGACCTAATAGTGTAGGTCGGCCTGAACCCATCCATGATATCCTTTGCCCATCCCAGTCCCAAAAGTATTTACCTATCCCGCTCCCATCCCAACACGCCTGATACGCCAGTTAGAAAACAGAAGGGCACCCATAGAACGCCCAATAATCCCATCCTTTACAGGTCGAAAGAAAATAGACATAAAATCAGCAAAAAAACATGGTTGCATAGCACAGCACAGTGACTCAGACAAGTGACAGGCCTGTCATCCAATGCCAATGCCCAATCATCATTGCGTCAGTGAAGACAAGTGAGAGGCAGGTGCAGGCCCAGGATAATCTTTCATCATATCTTGGGAGCGTCGATCATCACCCTTGGTTGCTTCAATTTCCCCCGGTGAATTGCTATGCATGGGCATACTAGAAGTGACCGCCGTCTTATCACGAACCACGGGTCCTGACATGGCTGGGGTTGGTGGAAGCATCCCTGTGGCCTGGAGCTGAGTTTTCTCTACCGACGGCGTTGTCTTGGTTCCACGCCGAATAATGTAGTCTCCCAGGCTGAGCTTCTTTTTTACGGGGCTGGGAGCAACCACACTCGACGAAGCAAGGGCAGGCAATGTAGGTTGGGGAGGTGCATCTCCCGAAGGAGATAATGACGCCGACACAGGTGCAGACCCAGGGCTTGGGGCAGATGCTTTAGAGGTGATGGACGTGGGAGGAAGAGGGACATGAAGTTCGGGACGACGTTGGCTGACTGTTTTCAACGGTATTCGAGCATTGTGAGCGGCTGTTGACGGCCAGGGAGGTGGTAAAGGAGGCTTGACCATGCCTCGGTCTGTTGACGAGGCCTCGAGCGGTGCGGGATAAGCTTGCGAGGGCGATAAAAGAATAGGCGAATCCATGTCCTTCATATCCGCATCGTCTTTATCGCCTGACGCACTAGGGGTCGACGCTGTAAGTGAGAGACCCCCAGGGGGGCTCAGAGATGCAGGGGGCGAGTCCAGATGTCTGAGTGGTTTTACTGGAGGTGACATAGATTGGCTGCTTTTTTCGAAGCGCAGACGATCGGAATAGCATCGTTTCAACAAACGTTGAGTTAATGGTACGAAGTTAGGTCGTCGAGGCGAAGGCGAAGAAGAGAACCCGTCGAAAGGAGCTTCAGGCTCGGTTTGAATTGCCGAGTCCACGTATTGAGGGCGCCCGAGTGGAGATTGGACAGAAGGCATGCTATGGCTGTTGGACATCTTGCGTGGAGAACCATGACGTCCACTAGGCAACGGCCCAGGCAGAGTACCGGCCGGTGGGGAGTGCGATTGACGCTCGCGACCATGACTTGACTGACCACTAGCTCGCTTTTTCCTTTTGTTGGTTGCTTGCTGATCCTGCTCTAATTGCTGAAACTTCTTCTCGGCTGCCGCGATTTTCCGCTTCTCGCGGGCAGAGAGCTCGGAGTCTCCCAGCAAGTAGTTTTCGGTCGGAGTCTGTAGCGTGGGAGTCAGATCGCGACTGCGAGTCTGTCCGCGCACAGAGCCTGACGCAGAGCGACTGTCGGCTTGATCATCCTCATCTATAGCCTTGGTCGTTTCACTCCCAGCGCGACTATTAGCGGTGGGGGAAATGGTTGATTTTGTCCTAGGTCTCTTCCGTTTGAGGCTTGCCTGTTTCATGTTGGCGTCCAATAATCTGGGGTGTCGCCGGCGATCTACGCTGGCCAGCAAGCAGTTCGAGGATGGAACGCAAGCGCAGCCGCCAAAATGGGCGAGAACATTGCTAATGCAGATGGCAGCATTGTCTTGGGCATTATCACTCGGTTCTTGCTTGACTAAACCATTGCTTGATTCGAACAGCTGAGGATCCAGATACCACATGGCAGTAATCTCGGCATCAGGGGCAATATCTTCTTTTGCAACAAAGCAGAAGTGATATTCTACCTGGTTCGTAATGTAGGTCTTCATCGTCACATTCGGACGGCAAGACCGCCGCACGTAGCGGAGAACACTTCCTTCATGGCGACTGTCGATATAGATCGGAAGCTGGGGATGGAAGAAGACGAAAGGCTCCGGATGACGTAGCTCCTGCCAGCGATTACTGGGATCAAGACAGTAATCCCGCAGCAGTCCAATCTTACCTGTGATTTCCCCAACAATTTCGTCCTTTCCTACACGATCTTTGGTCTTGAGTACTTTCCAGGTCGGGTGTTGCCCCTCCAGTTCAATACTAGGCTCTGTGATAGACTCAGTTGACAGTGTGGGCCACCGCGACCGGTCAAGCGATGCCCCGGACCAAGTAAAGATATCCTGCGCGGACCGCCCGTTGGCAACTCGGGCCAAAGCGGTTGGTTCCGTTACCCAGGAAGCCAGATCTGCGGCCAAGGGAAGGTTGACAAACAAGTTGCTGTCCATACTCGCATAATCGTTATCATGATCATAGAGGTGCAAGAACTCGTGCGAATAGAGGGGGATGGCTGGACCAGCCGTCTTAATGGGGCTCATGGACGCTGCAGCCCGTTTCCGTGGATCAGGTGGAAAACCCGGAGCACCCGAGACAGAGCTAATGGACCCCGAAGCACGATGATTTGTCTTGACTTTCTTTGCAACGGGCTGATCGCGCACCGCGGATTCCGACCGATGGTGGAATCCATTTACCTGATCACCATGTTCTTTGATCTTTTTCTTGTGGCTCTTGTTTCCAGATCGTTTGGTTTTCCGGTCACCGCCGTCATTCTGTTCCCTAAGACGTCTCTGCCGTTCGGTTGCACGCCGCCCATCCAGATGACGCGGCTCGCAATCGACACAGTTATGCACGTCGGGCACATCTCGACCATGGTAATAGCACTCTATATGCTGCCAAGTTTCGCACCCTTCACAGAAAACCGTGTTCCCATCGTCATCCTCAAAAGCGCAGATGCATTTGATGGTATACGGCTCCTCCTCTTCCGGGGCGATGGAGTCGGAAACGGTGCCGTTGACGCCGGGTGAGTGCAGCGGGACGGTGACCGGATAAGGGTCCGTGATGGGGTGCGTGATGGCGAGTGGGGAGGTATCTGTCATAATCCGACAGAATACCCCCTCTCAGATTGAACAAGAGACACGCGGTGGTGGTTGTTCGGGTAGACGAACGGCTCGTAGTGGTATTGTATCACAGACCAACACGCATATCAACAACACGGACTGCTCTCCTGGCCTCAGCTATACACACACAACTATAAGCAGCAGCAGGACCACTCCAAGGTGAAACCACTTGGGCGCAGAGGAACCTGTCCACGATGTCCCGACTCAACAGTAGCACGAACAACGACCCACAAAGCAGGACTCAGCTGCAAGCGACGGTAGACGATTTCGGCGCTAAAAGAGGGAAGGTAATTGGAAAGAAGGTCTCGGATCGAGTTTCGAAGGGAAAGGGTGTCGAAGAAAGCGTTAGTGATGTCGTGATTGTCGGTGGCGCGTGCGACCGTATGAACGCGAAAGGGTATCGATGATTGAGAGTCGACGACTATGGAAGGGCGGACGGATCACGAATCGCATGGAGAAGAGGAGAGAATTGGAACAGACGGCCGAGAGATGGAGGCGAGGTGGTGAGGAGGTCCCGGTGAAGGTGATCGTCGTTTAGTAATAGTCGAGGGGGGAGATGAGGATAAGACAAAAGGGGAGAGAAGAGTTAATATGAAGAAGGTAATTAAGATGAGAGAAAGGTCAAAAGCGGAGTTCAGAAGGAATGAGACGGTGGATGAGTGAAAGGGAGTAGGTAAGAGGAAGGGAGATCGAGAGTGAAGAGGGAAGAGAGTGAGTGAGAGTGGATCAGAGGGAGGGAGTGCAAGAGCAGCGAGCGAGAGAACGAGAGAGACACAGAGAGAGAGCGAGAGTAAGTGAGAGAGAGAGAGGCTAAAGCCACGGATGGGCCATCCAAGCGGCGCGTCCAAGACCCGGAGAGAAAAAGGAATGGCGTGGAATTTTTTCTCCCACCCGCTTCAAGGACTGGGGGTGGGAAAGTGTGTCAATGGTGACTTTGGGGGGGGGTGGTTGCTGGAGTAGGTGCCCTCGAACAGTGCCCTTTTTTTCGCTCTTCTTGCTTTTGCTTTAATTTTGATCCGCGATTTGGACCTCCTAGACTTGTCCTTTCTTAGTGTCCTTTTTTGTTGAGGGGGAGGGTCGATAATGATGGCAGACAGAAAGAGGGGGGAAGGGAAGAATTGATTTGTTAGTGATGAGTGGTGAGCATAACTTGGGTAAGGGACAGATCCGACGACGGACAGTCCGAGCAACGAACGAATTGCAAGCTGGAACGAGGGACAGGGAGGGAGGGGGGGAGGGATAGAGAAGGGGAGTTGTAGCCAAAACCCACCCACCCTTGGAGCCTTGGAGGGAAGCACAGGTTCAAGGTTGCTTAGGAGGGCGCGGCCGGAAACGAACCCACGTCGAGCCATGGGCAGACCAAGAAGCTCTCGAGTTCGAGTCTCTCTCCAGGCTGACTCTCGGCCTTTCTGCTCCCGGCCTGAGTTCTCAGGCCAAGATTCATGGTTGCCTGGAAGCGACCAAGGTGGAGAAATCCCGCTTTGCCGTTCCCGGTAGGAAAGAGTCCCACTAGTCTCAATCAGGGAAGAGACGGGTGCCGCGGGCGGGCGAGCCCCGTCTCTGACACAGCGCGGGGGGAAAGGAGGAAAATCATGTGAGAGGCAGGCAGAAAGAGGAATGGTGCCGGAGCATTGAACTCAGTAGATCTGCCCGGGAAGAGGAGAGGAGGAAGAAGGAACACGGGAAATGTGTATGATCCATATCTGAGATGTGGGGAGAGAGTTCTGATGAAAGAGATGGGAATGAGGGGGATTAGCCAGCGAGCTCGTCCGGCCATCTCTCCCACGAAATGAAGCACATAAACAAAAGGGATCTGGGCTGAAAGGGAACATATTGCGAGTGAAGATGAAAAAGAAAAGAGGAGAGAGAGAAGGAAAGGGACGAGGAAGCCCGAATGCACCTGAATGTGGATCATTTTAGCTGCTATCAACAGTAATGTCGGTCAACCTGCCCGTCGTAATTCAGGCCAACGACCGCCCTGGGACAACTCATGCATGCGTTGCCCATCATGGTTCGTGATGGGACTAAAATTGTCCCTGTAAACTGTAGACCTTGACCGGGGTGTCAACCCAGGAATGATGAAGCTTTAGGTTGGTCAATAAGAAGAATGTGTTAGTCTTAATGGATGGTTAGCAGTAGAGCAAAGGCAAGTCATGAGCAAGACAGGATCAATCAAGTGGTTGGTCCTCAGTGCGGCAGGTGGTGGTGGTGGTAAAGTTGGTACTCAAGGCGGCAAAGGGGACGAGCGGCTGCATGCTTGGTCGGGAGACCCGACCATGAACCATGGCAGGGAAGGTCCTCCTCGTAAGGGCAAGGTCAGTGAACAGAAGCAGAGATCAAAAAGCACTCCTATGTGCTATCCTGACAGTCAATGATGAACAGGGCAGATAAATTCCCATCTATTGACAGGGCTGGGGTTGGTAGGCGTAGAGGTGTTAAAGTAAGTGAGTAGTGTGGTGATCGTAGTGGGAGAGAGCATGAGTACTTGACAAGAGCCAGGGTCCCATTCAATATTTGAATGGGCGGAAAGTCCCAGCAGCAAGGCTGTGTGGTCAGTCATAGGACTCAGGGTGGCGGTTGCAAAAAGAAAAGGGGAGAGGAAAAGGGAAGGGAAGTGCAATAATAAATGGAATGGTCTGTGAGCAGGGAAAATCGCAGGTGTGGAAAAAAAATATCCTCTCATGACTGATAGATTACCCATACCCGGTGCGGTGGGTTGGTTTGCACCTGGGCTGGTATCAAGCGTTACCAGCTAAGCATAGATGAGAGAAAAAGAGAGCGAGAGTGAGAGGGAGTGTGTCGGAAAGATGATGAAGATTGCTTTACACAGCCCAATTAGATCCTATAATACCTCTCTAGCCTTTGAATGTTATTGTTGAGGCATTTGCAATGGAGGTGAAGCCACTCTCTGATGGTTTGAGATAGCAGTCATGTTAGCAGACTCACAAGCTGACTGCAAAGAGGGGAGGGAGGACCTCATGACTTGCAGAATAATGCGATAGAGCAGAGCCAACTGACCTTAAAAGTAAGTCCGGAGAGCACTCAGCATCCGTAGCATCACCGGTAAGAACAATTTCTAGCGTTGCAGTGACCATGGTGACTGAGCGGTGCAGTGTTGACAATAATTTACCAACCGTAGCGGGTAAAATACATTACCTGTAGGGGCTGACGGGTGAGTCTGTCCAGCCCGCGCGTGGCGAAACCACCGCTCCCCCGAGCTTACCCTACCGGCTTTGTTGCCTCCCAACAAGCAGCTACGGACTTCCCTCTAAAGATGATGATTTATCATCGGCGTCTCTGGATGTGGAAGACAAATGGTAGATCAAGTTGGAAACTTCGATTCAAGAATACAAGTAGTACACAAACAACCACAGGTAGGTATAGGTATATGACAAGCCCGTTGCCTTTCTAAGAATACAAAATGAAACAATGAATCCCAATGCCACACACAGTAGGATAACGATAATACAAGGTATGAGGCGGAATGCCAAGTTCACCACTGCAATAATGTCCTTTGATCAGCGTCATTGATACTCTCATGGACCCATTGTAGATTCGGCCTCAGCCTGGTGAGGAGGAGCATCCTTTCTTGACCGTGCCATCTCCCACCACACGCGCTGTCCAGATGATCGAGCAGAACCGGCGCGGGCTTTGTTCTGCGTCTGCTCGTCGGGAAGTGTGCGAAAAGAGGTGAATCCCTGCGTCAAGGAAGTCCGGAATCGATGGCTCAAGTAAAGCATCCAGAACATGGCAATGCTGGTGTATACGGGGACCGCGTTGCGGATCTTCAGTCCCGACAGAGCAGGGGCTTCGTCCGCGGGTGGCGAGGGGAAGGCCATGAGGAGGCTGTTGGCAATAGGTAGCACGGCGCAACCCGCGATACCCAGGTACACCCCATAAGGTTGGATGCTGGACTGGTACACCTGCAGAAAGCCTTCGTCGGCTGTCTGTCGGCGGAATCGGATGTAGACGAGACAGGCACCGAGCCATGAGATGGAGCCAGACGTAGTGATGAAGTACAGCAATGAGTTGTGCACAGAGGAGCTGGACACCGACACCGACAGATACCCAAATACCGAGAACAAGGCGGAAGCAACAACGGCCACATACGGCACGCTCAGTCGGTTGCGGGCCGTGAACAGGGTGGGGGCATGACCAGTCTCCGCCAAGGCACAGAGTGTGCGAGATGAATGATGGAGAAAAGAGCGTCCAGAAGCAACAGAAGAGATGCAAATCATCGCCCGAGCAAGTATAGATAGCGCGCGAATGCCAGTCTGATCGATACCAACGACGAAGGGTGAAGCTCCGGCCCCGAGGCCATCGTTCGTCAACAGAGGCTCGTCGAAGGGACTCATGAAGGTCATCATGAAGGCGCTGACAGTGTAGAGCGTGAAGAGCAGAAGGCTTGAAAGCCGTGTCGACCGCAGGATGCTTGAAGGGTTCTCCACCTCACGACGCTCGACCTTCTGCACGATCAACTCCGGAACGAAGGAGAAGGCAATCACCGTGTAGAGAAGACACTGGAGGAAGCCCAGAGCGCGACCCCCGTTTCCGGGAACCAGGTACTCGCTAAACGGGCCAGGCTCATGCCAATAATGAAATCCTCGGATTGATGTGCCAGGAATATCTCGAATGGCCATGTAGATGGAGACAATCATGAATCCGACAGTGGTGAAGAGCTTCAAGCCAGTGAATATGATCTCGCTTCGCATAAATTCCCGTTCTGGAAGCATGTTGAAGAGGAAGATCGCAAGGGTGACTGCTGTGATCCGTATAGCAACGGAGGGTGCCGGATCCCACTGACCGAGACTGACCATCGCGGTGGTAACTTCGAAAGGTACCATCATTGCCAGAGTATACCATCGTAAGTAAGCCAGGGAGAATCCGAGATGACCTGAGCTGTACTGATACCCATGGGTAATCAGGGTGCCAAAGGGACGAGGCTGATGGGCTGCCACTTCAGCGACGGCGGTCGTCAGGCAATACATCAGAATGGAAAGGAAGACATATGAGCCAACGAGTGCTGCTGGACCACCGACGGCCAAGGCCTGACCGGCACCGATGAAGAGACCGGTTCCAAGAGTTGAGAGAATCATTGTGTATGGTGGGATCAATAATGATGTGTGTGTATATACTGGTAAAGACTGGAAGGGAGGTATGTGTATGTATAGAAGAAGAATGCTGAAGAGGTGAAGAAGAAAAGAATTCGAGGAGGCGGGAGGTGGTTTTGAGTCGAGAGAAGAAGGGCGTTTGGCACCTTCCTCGTTCAGCGACGCCAACATACACCACCAACACGGAAAGACTGAGTCCGGACCTTGGAGATAGAAGGCAGGTACATGTGAGGTCCGGTGCAATGTGGGCTACAGGCTGTACGTAAGTTGCTATTACCTTTCGCGAACCTCGATCGGATGATAGAAGGAAAGTGCGTGGGAGGTAGTCGAGGCCCAGATCCAGCTGGGCAAGTGTCAAGGAAGACCGACCACCAAGACTGCACCCGGAAAGGAACGTACTAGGTAGCGATGCATGGGTATCATTTTTACTACCTAGTAAAGGAATATAGCAGGAGTGCGAGATATTAAGCAGATATTAAGCAGATATTAAGCAACGATCTATGGCCCCTACCAAGGTGCGATCCACACCAAACGCCTCTTGAGCATGAATAGGGAATTTGACCAGGAAGACAAAGACCTAATGGTAAAACATGGATAATCGAGAGTGCTGGAAACAAGATCATGTCCTCGCGACGCTGATATGGGTATACTTAGCGCCTGCAACCTGATAAATCTAATCGACAAATTCCAGCCAGGGAAGTGAATCACTGAGAAGCCATATCAGTTTCGGCATATTCGAGCCATTGCCCTGAAAGAGACTTCTTCCAGAAGCGCACAGCACCATCATCACCCGAGGAGATGAGGCAATCACCTATCAGATGTTAGACTTCCAGTCATAGTAACCGTGAGGGAGGGATTGTAGTACTTACCGGCGTAGGAAAAGCCCACTTGCCACACATCAAGGTGTTTGCTATCAATACAGGCGACTTCCTTGTACGAATGTTTGAAATTGGAATCATCTGTTGCCGCACGGTCGGATAGCGAGGCAGGGGCATGATTTGCCAGAGCTGATCCAATTCCCGACTGGGCTTGCGTGCGCACTGATAGCGAATGCGAGGCAGATCGAGAATGGCTGCCATTTTGTTTCTTGGTCCTGGTTTCGGACGGGAAGGTGTAGACTTCAAATACACGAATAAACCCGTCTTTGCACCCGCTCGCAATCAGATCGTATCCGCGAACCGATCCATTGGCCCAGGAAATGTCTCGGACCAGACCACCATGGCCGCTTAGCTCGATCGCATGGTAAAAGCGTCGATTGGCATCGGTGCGGTACACTTTAACACTGTCCATAGCTGCCACCACTAGAGAAAGGCTTTTCCTGTCCCAAGACGGCGAGACTGAATGGGTGATGTCCGTAGGGTCGTGGTGAAACTGGACCTTGAAGCTTGTTTCCTCCCCTCTCTGCGGCGCACTACAGACACGGAATTGATCCAAGGGCTGCCAATCGGCAAGGGTATCCGGGCTGACAGGCTCCATGACCATTAGATAGCCGTCGCGCGTGATTACCGCGAGCCACGATTCAAGATCGATGTTGCGAAAGTCAATGGAGACGAACGGGTGGCGCTGCGGCGCTGTCATGCGAAAGATGGATCTGAAACGCCGGCCCGAGTTGAGAGGCTGCGTAACATCTTCTTGCCATATCTTGCATTTCATATCTTCCCCCACGCTGCCAATGTGCTGGCCAGTGAAAGGTCCATTCCAAGTCGCCTAAACAGCCTATCGTCAACACAAAGCAAGTTTCTGCGGTCGGTGTTAAGACAGCTTACATCGCGGATTTCCGCGTCATGGGCGCGCCATGTATCTACTAATCGCCATTCCCCGTCTTTCTGGTCCCAAACCTTCATGCGGTGGTCGGTCGAAGCCGTTAGGATGCGATTGCCATAGAAGTTGAATTTGGTCACTGACACCAGGTCACGATGACCGGCATCGAAATCCGCGAAACCCGACATGGATGTGGTATGCGAACCCGGGATTTCACCCCCAATTAGATGGGCGAAACAACCAGCCTCACAGCCACCGCCCTTGACACAGGATGAGACACGTCGACAGTCAGCTGGGAGCTGGAGGGGTAGTAATTCAGGGTTGGGGGGAGTTCTGCTGATGCTTTCTTTGGCCTATCCATGCGTCTCCGATAGCTCCCCTTCTCCAATTGTACCAGATAGGACATGCATGTGAAGCACTGGGATTGTTGGGATCGCAGCTGGTTTGTCACTCAGTCATCCATTCATTGATTACCTAACACATTTGTTATCTGATGCGCATGTGCCTGAGCCGCTCAGACCGCCTTCTTCAGGTCACCAGGCGGTGGAGTTACGTCGGCAAAACGAGATGCGTCGTACGCCTTTCTCCACCATTCCCTAATGCCACCTTGTCATTCTTCGTAGTCTTTTTTTTTTTCTTAACACATGCTGGAGACTCGTCAATCTTGATTCCTGGGGCTGTGAAGCCGGTATGCTGATACTGTCTCGCGCGCGATGACTTCAGTCAATTCGAGCTCTCTCTCCCACCATGAGGCCTGGCGCCTCTTCCTCTTGGTGGCAGTATGCGTCGGCATCCTGTCCAATACATTTCAAGGCGAAGGGGCACCCCTGATCGCGTCAATTGCCTTCAGTGGCATTGCATTTGCAGTGACATTTAGTATGATCCGTTGGCTCGGGCCTACTTTCCTCAAAGCAGGGCTGAAGGGGAAGGATATGGCCAAACCGAATAGGCCCGAAATGTATGTGCTTCTATCTTTTCGCTGATCACTGTACAATGGTCGCGAACGTGTTTTTGATCAGAATCATGGTGATTAATGTGTTCACGGCTCAGACCAGAGACCATGGGAGCTGTTTGCTCCATTGTATATCTCCTTGCGCTCATCTTCTTCATCCCCTTCGCATTCTACAAAGATATCGTGGCAGCGACCTCGGGGGGAGGTAATCGCGATGTTGTTATTGAAACCCAACACGTTGAGCATGGTCGCATGCTACATCGGTTCCCTCATGGAAAGGTTTGCCACTCTCAATAGCAAAGGACGCCTTCTGTATGCTAATAACAGAATCAATAGCTTGCCTCCTACCTCTCCGGGTTGCTCTCTCTTCAATGCATTGTTATTCTCGGGATTGGCGATGACTTGCTCGACATTCGATGGCGGCATAAAGTTCTCATCCCCGCCTTTGGTGCGATCCCAATGCTTATCGTATACTTCGTGGATTTCGGGGTCACGCAAGTGGTTGTGCCCGTTCCTCTGCAGCCCTATCTGGGACCGTTCATTGATCTCGGATGGCTGTATTACGTGTACATGGCTGCTGTGGCCATATTTTGTCCCAACTCGATCAACATGTTGGCGGGGGTCAACGGAGTGGAGGTTGTCCAGTCGCTCGTGATAGCAGTCTTGCTGATTGCGAATGACGCACTGTACCTTGCGCCGGTGACGCCCTACCCGCATCCTGCGACTGACTCGCATCTGTTCTCGCTGTACTTTCTCCTGCCATTTGTCGGAGTATCTTTGGCCCTTCTATGCCACAACTGGTACCCCTCCAAGGTCTTTGTCGGGGATACGTACTGCTATTTTGCAGGAATGGTCTTTGCTGTTGTCGGCATTCTTGGCCACTTCAGCAAAACACTGCTCCTCCTGTTCATCCCGCAGATCTTTAACTTCGTATATTCCACCCCCCAGCTATTCCATCTGATCCCATGTCCACGCCATCGCCTACCAAAATTCAATTCCGTGACCGGGCTGTTGGATGCATCCGTGACGGAATGGGCGGTACCGCCTGCGCCACTGATCGCCGCCGCATTGGAACTCCTCCACAAGCTGCGCCTGGTTCGCGTCACCAGAAACGAGAACGGTCAAATCGTGCAGTCCACGAATCTCACTATTCTCAACCTCTGGCTCGTTTGGATGGGTCCGATGAGGGAAGATCGGCTCGCATTGAGCATGGTTGGTCTGCAGACTGTGTGCGGGCTTTTAGGGCTTTTCGTGCGACACCGTTTAGCTCTGCTTGTTTTCCGCGAGGACAACCGGGCGTTCAATTATGTATAGATGCCGCTGAGCTTCGACTCGTATAGATAGGTACCGGTTTCGAGCATAGACTTATTCATAGCCCTTGGGTCCACTATCCAAAGAAGCAAAGAATGTACGTACAAGTAGTCTATGAGTAGGTAGCATAGTAGGTAGTAATGAGATTTCTGCAGATCAGATACGATACGCCGATACACCAACTGACCGCCCGACCCACAGTGACGGCGCAAAAGAGCTCCAATTCCAAACTCGAAACTGGATCGGCCCAGAATTCCCAGCTGGCCGGACGCCCGACGGGATCTAACCAGAACCTTCACCAGCCTTGCCCTCTTTTGGTCGAGTAGCGCCGTTCATGGTGTAATCCATCGTCACCGGATATGATGACACTCCCAGGGAGTCAACTCCATACTACACAGTAATGTACTAGGTATAAAACCACACCTATTCTTTGCAACTGTAATGAGATATTTTAGAGCAATGCTGCATGTCGGGCATAATGTTTCGCCTAAGAGTCATTCCTACATGACGGAGTCATTCATTGCTGCAGTGGGAATTTCGAATCAGACTCGGTCGGTTAGTCATACTACCGTCGCTAACCGCCCCCGCCCCCGACATCGGACTCCACTACCCCCCAGAAAATTCGGTCCCGTCCAATCGGCAAAGGGCCATTGGGTGCTGACCACCGAGACCGGCGTTGCCCCTCGACAGGCGGCGGTGCGACATCGCGGCGGGCGCTGCTGTTAAAACCATCTCTTGTCTCTTCTTGTTCCTCTGCTCATCAATAAATCATCCTTCACATTTGTCTCGCGTGCCTTGTGCAAGCCATCTCTACTCTCGCCCTCCTCATCCAGCTGCACAATCATCCCTTCCCCCCCCCTTTTTCCTTGAATATCTCCCTCAATCCTCGCCCCTCATGCCCGGCGTCGACAAAAAACCCAGGACCTTGTATGACAAGGTCCTGGACCACCACATTGTCAACGAGCAGGAAGATGGCACCCTCCTGATCTACATCGACAGACACCTTGTTCACGAAGTGACATCCCCACAGGCCTTCGAGGGTCTCGAGAACACCGGTCGTCAAGTCCGCCGGCCGGACTGCACTCTGGTGACCGTTGACCACGTACGTTGACTCCTTTGACACCCGGTGATGCATGGTAAAAGCTGACTGGGATTCTCTTCTGCAGAACATCCCTACTTCCTCCCGAAAAAACTTCAAGAACGTCGAAGAGTTCATCCAAGAGAACGACTCCCGGCTGCAAGTGACCACCCTCGAGGAAAATGTGAAGAAATTCGGCCTCACCTACTTCGGGATGGGTGACAAGCGTCAAGGTATCGTGCATATCATCGGGCCCGAGCAGGGGTTCACTCTGCCCGGCACCACCGTCGTCTGCGGTGACAGTCACACCTCCACCCACGGCGCCTTCGGTGCGCTGGCCTTCGGTATCGGCACCAGCGAGGTCGAACACGTCCTCGCCACACAGACCCTCATCACCCGCCGGAGCAAGAACATGCGCATCCAGGTCGACGGCGAGCTCCCCGCGGGCGTTACCAGCAAGGACGTCGTCCTCCACATCATCGGCATCATCGGCACGGCCGGCGGTACCGGTGCGGTCATCGAGTTCTGCGGTTCCGTCATCCGCGGCCTGAGCATGGAGGCCCGGATGTCCATGTGCAACATGTCCATTGAGGGCGGTGCTCGTGCTGGCATGATCGCCCCCGACGAGGTCACTTTCGAGTACCTCAAGGGCCGCCCCCTCGCCCCGAAGTACGACAGTGCCGAGTGGAAGAAGGCCGTCAGCTTCTGGAAGAGCCTGGCCTCCGACGAGGGTGCCCACTACGACAAAACCATCGTCATCGACGGCAAGGACATCATCCCCACCATCTCGTGGGGTACCTCCCCGCAGGACGTCATCCCCATCACCGGCGTGGTGCCCAGCCCCGACGACTTCCAGGACGATGCCCGCAAGCTGGCCTGCAAGCGCGCCCTCGAGTACATGGGTCTGACCTCGGGCACCCCCATGAAGGACATCGACGTCGACAAGGTCTTCATCGGCTCCTGCACCAACGCCCGCATCGAGGATCTCCGCGCCGCCGCCAAGGTCGTCCGCGGCAAGAAGATCGCCACCAACATCAAGCGCGCCATGGTCGTCCCCGGCTCCGGTTTGGTCAAGCAGCAGGCCGAGTCGGAGGGGCTGGACAAGATCTTCGTGGATGCGGGCTTCGAGTGGCGTGAGGCCGGGTGCTCCATGTGCCTGGGGATGAACCCGGACATTCTCTCCCCGCAGGAGCGCTGCGCCAGCACCTCCAACCGCAACTTCGAGGGCCGCCAGGGCGCCGGAGGCCGCACCCACCTGATGTCGCCCGCCATGGCCGCCGCCGCCGCCATCGTGGGTAAGCTGGCCGACGTGCGCGAGCACCTGGTGTCCAGCCCCGTGCTGAGCAAGGCCCACACGGCCGTCAACGTCGATGAGGAGCCCCAGCAACACCACGAGGACCCCAGCAGTGAGAGCGAAGCGGAGCGCATCAACGACCAGCCCGCGGACAACGAGCCGCACACCAACACCATTGCCGGAAGCAGCGGCTCCTCAGGCAGCGCCGGCCTCCCCAAGTTCACGACGCTCAAGGGCATCGCGGCGCCGATGGACCGGTCCAACGTGGACACGGACGCGATCATCCCCAAGCAGTTCCTCAAGACCATCAAGCGCACGGGGCTGGGCAGCGCGCTCTTCTACGAGCTCCGCTACAAGGACGGGGCGGAGATCCCCTCGTTCGTGCTGAACCAGGAACCCTACCGTAGCGCCAAGATCCTGGTGGTGACGGGCCCCAATTTCGGCTGCGGCAGCTCCCGCGAGCACGCCCCCTGGGCCCTCCTCGACTTCGGCATCAAGTGCGTCATCGCCCCCTCCTTCGCCGACATCTTCTTCAACAACACCTTCAAGAACGGCATGCTCCCCGTCGTCATCTCCGATGAGGCCGCGCTCGCCAAGATCGCCGCCGAGGCCTCCGCCGGCCGCGAGGTCGAGGTCGACCTCGTCAACCAGCAGGTCAAGGACGCCCAGGGCACCGTCCTGGCCGCCTTCGACGTCGACGCCTTCCGCCGCCACTGCCTGATCAACGGCCTCGACGACATCGGCCTCACCCTGCAGATGGAGGACAAGATCAAGGCCTTCGAGGCCCACCGCTCCCTCGAGACCCCCTGGCTCGACGGCAGCGGCTACCTCAAGCGCGGCAAGCGCGCCGGCGGCGGTGCCACCATGATCCAGGCCGCCCCCGTCCCCAAGACGAATCGTGGCGACGTCAAGGGGGAGCCTCTGGAGTGGTAGGCTGCGTTCCGTCGCCCCCATCATCTTTTCTTCTCTTTCGAACTTTCGGATACACGTTTCTTGTTACGACAATACCATAATGCAGCTTCTCTCTTTTTTCTCTTTTCCCTCTTCTCCTTTCGGGTCTTTTTTTTTCTGTTGTTGCCTCGCAAACAAAAAAACAGCTATATATCACTTGGTGTGCTTCTTGGGCTTATGTTGTTGAATGCCCGGTCTGGTACAAAAAGGACACTGGGAGGGAAAGGAAATAGACAGGAAATAATTAATTTCACATCTCATTGAGACTACTTCAATCCCTTCTTTTCTCCATTTATGTAAAGTGTAGATCTCACCAACGACGCTATCCCTGACGTCCGTCCGTACCTCCTAAGCTCTTGACATCGGCGTGCAGGATGAACGCCTTGCCAACCTCACGACCGCCGAAGGCCAATGAGAAAGCGCACAGCTAATAAGCAAAGCGACGCAGTCACTCCAAAAATCCTTCATTTGTGTATATCCATTTCAACTGATCCCAGTTTTTAATATTCATTCAACCAGGCTACTCTCTCGAAGTAGTTCCTAATTGGAGCCACATCCTCCAGCTACAGAACTGACTTATCGTCTGGTAGCTAAATACCTAAAAGAAAACATGGAAACGAAACAACGATCAACATATTCCATATTAAGCATATTAGGTTTTAAGATTCGCAAAACAGTAACCCGATAGAGAAACATCCATTCAGATTTGCAAGTGACCCAAAAAAGAGAAGAAAAAAAAGCAAAGAGCTCAAGCGAATTACCAAGCAAATTATCGAATCGACTGGAGGGTCCTTCCAGATAGCAGCAGAAAACAAAGACATTGGGGAAGAATAACATGCAAAACAGACAAGCAGAGTAAAAACAGGATTTCCAAAAGATGCATCCTCATGTTCATGGCTAGGTATCAATGAGCGTAACGACATTCGAACCGGAGGGGTCATAACCATTATAAACATCTGCATTCAAAACAAGCATTGACATCGTAGAAAGAGTGTGGGGAATCACGTATGGGGGATATATATACGTCGACTGGGTAGTGAGGAAACAGGATGTGAGGTGGCTCGACTCGACACCAGTCAACTATCGAAGGAATGTTCAAACGTGCCAAGTCGAAAGGAACTGTTGAGGGAGAAGAAGGAGAAACGATAATGTACAAGGCGAAGAGGGTGCGGGGAGGGCCAGGGTAAGCGTGGAGACGGATGTGCGGGTCTAGGGATTTCTCTATACGTTATGCTTTCTTGTTGTTCGCTCATGTCCTTGCTTTTTGTCGAGAGATAGTCACTTGAGCTTGATGGCCTCGGTATATTACCACCAGAGCTTAGGGCTTTGTGAGCTGTTCTTTACGGAAGAACATGAGGTACCCAGCACTGACATTCTGTTAGCCGTGATTTTTATCACTCCATCAGAGACAAATAGACGTACCAGATGAGCAGCTGGAAGAAAAGTGCAATCCAGAACCAGGCATTAGCAATTGAGCTGACCCCGGCTGTGATATCTGGCGATATTGGGCCCGGGCCGATCTTATTTGGCCCAAATGCTCTTGCGCAGATTGTGGCGATCGATCCCAACACCTGAGACGCAAGAAGCGTGAAGCAGATGTGCATCCTGGTCATGGTTTGCAACAATATCATACCGAATCCTAAGCCTTGGATGGAATCCAACACTCCGAGCCACAGCCAAACAGCTCTCGACACGAGAGCACCGCTTGTGTAGCTACCGGCCCAGGGTAGGAATAACCCAATACCGGAGACACCCCACCATATCTGTGCCCAGCGCGGTGCACCCAGGCCGCATGCAAAGACTGGAAGGATCCAGCTATGCGTTTTCGAGAGATAACCGAATAGGAAGAGCCAGGCGGCCCAAACGAATCCGAAGAAGACCACGCAGAGCACTCCCACCTCCCAGGGCTTGGCGTGGGCAGAACTCCAGAGGACTGCAAAAGATTAGCGTCTATACGACCGTTCCATCCAAAAGTACTTACAGCTCCAATTGCGTCCATACGGTGCACTGAGGAAGAAGTTTGAGACGATGACGACCACGAAGTTCCAGAGAATAATCTTGCGCCGGAATACAGATTGGTAGAATGAGGGCACTTTACCCGGGGTCTGGTGGTAGTAGCTCGGAAGACCGAAGAAAAGCAGCAGACCAATGGCCCAAAGAAAGGCAGCGATAGGAAGACAAATAGCTCTGAAAATCTGTCAGTAATCGACTTCGAAGTGCGCATTGAGGAAACATACGTCATCTTCCAGGTGTTCGTGATATCACCCTGGACATTTGTAGCACCACTCTCAACGGCCTGAGAAATGGCTGTACCCCAATACCACAGACCAATGATATAGGCTTGCTGGCATCCTTGAATTATACATGCCCGGAACACCCATTCCTTGACCGGTGCGCCGTTCTCATCACCAAAATTCAGCGCAAAGAACAACGAACCGCTGGCCGAGGCCGCAGCGTAAACACCTGCGCCCACGTTCTGAATCCAACCGCGAGCAAATCCATCCTGCTCAAAATGTGCCACTCCGATGATGACGAATGAGAGACCGTACAAAAGCCAAGGAAGCGATAGAACAAAGACCGACTTGAATGATCGGAAGAAGAACCACCAGACAATGGAAGCGACGAGGTAAACTGTCGCGATACCATAAAGTTTCTCTGCTGTTTCTCCCACCTCGCCCGTGAGCAGTGTGATCTGATAAGAGTTGGCAGCGATAATCTGGCCGAGACCAAGGAAGAAGGAATACAGAGGCCAGTCACCAATCCGGATTTGCATCCATTTTCGAAGACCAGATGGAGGAACGTAATCATTCCCTAGGAGAAATTCATCCTTCTCTCTGCGCTCAGGGCTTCTGCTTTCCTGCGAACCCATCTCATCGGCCCTGACCGAACTCATAGGTGAATTGTTGTCCATTTTCGCGTGGAAGACGGAAGAGGCGGGCGATTGATTGCGGCCAAGTCTGGCATCTCTGAACTTATCAAACCACTTCTTCTCACTCTTCATAAGGTACTCCTCAATGCAGAGCTGAGATTCAGAGTTTGAGCCATTCAGATTCTCCAGCCTTTTCTCAAACGCCTTGTAGTACTCACCAGTGCTGTCGGTGAAAAACGGATCGACCTTCTGCAGCTTGTAATCTTTCTTCTCTCCAATGATGGTATCAACGGAAAGAACAGAGGCACTGCTGAGTCGGTTACCGGGCTCGTTGGCATACTGTCTCACGGGCGACACAAGAGCTTCTTCGGGTTCTGGACTTCCGGGGCTGGTTGTAGTCAACATGGGCCTGGGTGGAAGCGAGCTTTGACTGGACTGTCTGCGACTGAAAAAATCCCTAGGCGGCGTTTGTCGAGGCATGTCCAATTGAGGGGTTGCATCGGTTCTGCGTCCTTCCTCTGCTTGTTCAGGAGTGAGTGTGTACTCCTCCTCGCCATAGTAGCTGGGGATGAAGTCGTCATCACTACTCTCCTCGGTGTTCGAATTGTTGGCAGGGTCTTCATGGCCCATGCTTCTCCTCAAACGACGGCGACCACGACGAACGAGGTGACCGGGTCCGGACCGTACACCAAGCGACAGCGTTCTGCTTAATCCTGATTTGGGCTTTTCGTTGGCGCCTGGGCTCGGGTCGCGACTGTACACAATTGTGTTTCGCTGCTGTGGTCCGTACGCGCTCAAACGGTTGATATTCGAATAACTTCCCTCGCGCGAGTGCGTAAGAGGAGGGGTTTGTACTCCACTGGGAGTAATGTGTCCGGAAGAGGCAATGGTAGGCGTCATCAGACCACTCGGGGTGTTGTATCCAGAAGGCGTCAGTGGCTGGCTATTTGACTTGGTCAGGCCCTTGCTATGAATGCGCATCGCAGTCGACTGGAGAATTTCCAAATCCTCCACCCACTGTGCGACAGGGAACCGTTGCTTCGCAGACCGCGCGCGCATCTTAGCCCGAACTTGGGGTTTCGAGTTCAATGCACTCGCGATTGCAAGCTTGAATTGGTGCAGCAGATGAGACGTTGTTGTCGATTCAATATTATACCACCAACCAGGCATCTGGCCAAGACCTCCCACACGAGCTCCAATACCAAGGGCTCCTTTGCGGCCGAATTCCACCGCAACAAGTCCAAAAGGTTCATCACGAGACGGGATCAACGCGAACTCAGCTCCAGAGAAGATATACGGTGGAAGTGCTGTAAACTCAGGCTTGGAGAATACTCTCCCAGGGTAAACCTTCATCATCTGATCGAGCTTCAACGCAGCGAATTTACCATAGAGATCAATAACTGGCCCAACACAGATCAGTTGAACATTCGGACGTGCTTCCAAGACAGCAGGCATCACGTCAGCGATAAGATCTACTCCCTTTTGCATAGACCATCGCCCAACAAAGACCAAAAGATCTGCGTTAGGATTCTGGTCTAGACCTGCCCATTCCTGTGCTTGCCGTTTCAATTCGCCTCTGCTTGCCTCGTAGAGAGGATCAACTTCGATTTCACTGTCCTTGGGGAGCTCTTTGTTCCATTCACCCGTGTCAGAAGGATCAGGATTTGGTAGATTTCCCACCTTCTTCAAGCCCCAGAAGATTGGATAGCGAGCATATGACCGCTTGCCGTATTTACGGGAGACACCAACAGCACCAAAGCCCTGCTGGTGAACACGAAGATAGCTTGCGCCCGCATGAAGCATATTGAAGACCTCGCCGAATTGAACGTAACGGCGTGCTGTATTAATGTCGAGGTTGAAAACTGAGCAGACTTCGTCTCTCTCTTTCTGAGTACGCATAGGCCAAAGTCCCTGGAACTCAGCGTTGTGAAGCGAAAGGCAGACCGGGACTGTTTGTGGAAGAAGATAGAGTGGAGCAATTGAGCCGTGATAGTCATTGATGTGGTATAGATCAATCCGGAAACGTTTGATGGCTTCAGCTATGCACTGGTTCCAAGCAGAATAGTAAATTGCGCTGTCCAGGTCGTCCATACGGGCAGGGTAAGGTTCCGCCTTCGATTGTTGGCGGAATACCGGTGCGTCAAGAAGAACATATGTAATGTTCTTGATCACATGGTATTGAACCTTGACTTCGTACGAGTTACCAAGCACCGTCACGAACATCGGATCCGCTGGCTGATCGACCGGGTATTCGACACCACCAACACATGGCACGACCCAGATCAAGTTTTGCTGTCCAAGGTGCTTTCCCATCAGCTGGGCCATGACACCAAGACCACCAATCTTGATCTTGATGCCCCAGTCCTCGATATCGTACTCCATGGTCGCAATCAGCGTGGTTCGTGTACGCGAGGCAGCGGCACCAAACGCAGATGTACTTTGCAGAAATCCTGACTTGTTCGCAAAGCGAATCAGAGGATTCGACGACTGGCCATCTCGCTTATTGCCGAGGATCATGCCAAGGAATGACTTCTTCTCCATCACTCCGACCTGATTGAACTTGACTTGGTAGAAGGACTTCATGAAGGCATAAACCACAGCAATCGCGGTCAAAAGCGGGACCACCCACAAAATGATGTAGATGATCATCTGAGCGATTCTTGATCCAGTGGGCACCAGATTGATCTTCATAGTGCCATCATCAACCTTAACATTCCAGACCAAGTAAGGCGACGGAGGAATATCTGTGATGTTGACAGACAGTTTGCTGAGAGAGGACGGAGGCATGCGATCCAAGACTCCATCGCCATCAACGTCACCGAACACGAAGCTTTCGTCAGGTTTACCATCCGGGTTCATGCCCCAGACGTTGAATTGACCCTGTGCTGGATACTCAGCGATGACTCGGAAGTTCCAGAAACCATCACTGTCCTGCTTGGCAACGTTATTCAGCCCTGCATCGTATCCGTACTGATTGTATGGTCCGTTGAAGAAAAGGTGCGGGAAGCGTCGCGCAGGACCATTCCAGTCATAGTCACCCTCCTGAACGTAGTCACTGCTGCCAGTTAACTGACTCCAGTACTCGACTCGCACATGCTTTCCTTGCCACTTCTGTTTGTCCGTTCCGGACCAAGGCAATTCGTCAATGGTAGTGTTGCCTCCAGTGTAGTTCATCCAAGCGGAGAAGGAACTGCCCCAATTCGTTGAATAACGCCATTTGTTAGCACCCGCCGCCCTGTGTTGGACGTAGAGGGATCCGTTCTCATTTCCGTGCACTAGACCCGTTGTGTAATTGGCAGAGGTAAAAACGATGGGATTGTCACTCTGACCAACGCGGAAAAGAAAGTGATCTGTGGACTGAGTGGATTTGCTACCAGAACCGGTAGCATTCTTCACAGTCAAACGATGAACACCGTTGTAAACCCCAGTCAGTTTCGCTGACCAAGACCAAGCGCTGGGCAGCTGAGCAACATATTGGGTGTCATTTGCGGTCATAGTCTTGCAATCAACGCTACCTTTGTCGATGGATGGTGTTTTGCCAGACTCGGTCTGCGAGGTGAATGAAATAGCCTTCGTTACAGCGTCACAGTCCATTGCTGTAGAGAACTCAATGCTCACATTGATATCCTCGGATTCACCTGCGGCTACTGTGGAGAGCAAGGGAGCATCGTGCCCGGGATTGAACTTGGTAATCATGGGGCGGGGATCGACAAACTGTGCCTTTGGGACATAAGCCCTGAATTCGAATGGTTTCAAGGTGATGCTGTCCAGGCATCCATTAAGTTCCTTCGAGCCGTTCAGGTGAAGTGCTTTGGGTCCAGACTTCAAGGTGTGTTCGTCGAATGGGTAGAAGAGGTTCTTGACGGTTGTCTTCGTTGTGAATGGCGAGATTAGGGCGCTGGCATTGCTTCCGCAATCGAACTTGTACTCCACAGTCTTGTTGTCATTCTGGTAGACAAGCCAAACCGGCATGTTACCACCCTCATCGCCTAGATTCTGCAGACTAGATACTCTGTCTCTTAAAATGGACCACATTCCCGTTTCGGTAGCTGTGCCATTCGATCCTGGGTAAACGATATCCCGTGTCTGCTTTGAGAGGGTCTGCAGAGAGTAGCCGTCGTTCAAGATAGGGAACTCTTGTCGCAGTTGATACATATGCTTGATAATGTTGTGAACAGGGTGGGAAGGATCACGGTGATCATACGCCACCTTTGGGTCGTGGCAGCCCTGTCGGCCCTGTTCGATGGGCCAGTCATAATACTGGGTCGCATCAAGAGCCCAACAGCCGTGAGTTCTCCAGGCTGTAGCAGGTGACATGGCTTGCCGTCCATAAACGTAGTTATCTGCCGTGGCATCCAAGATGTAGAAGGCTTGCTCTTCTCCCCAAAGCAGCAGCGGGATTCCTGGCATTTGCAGAGTTGTAATGAAGAGACCTAAAAGGTTCCGCTCCACACCGTACTGGATTGCGGGCCACCGAAACACATCTTGATTTGTTGTGCCATACATGTGCCTCGGGTCGAATTTGCCGGTTTCAGCATTGATCAAATCGTTGCTCTGAACCATAATGTTCCATGAGTCGACCCAGTCGAGAGGAGTGTCGTAACCGGCCGCGAGATTACCGCTCATACCCAAGAAGCGTGTGAGGGTGCGGTAAACTGAATAATGGAAAGCGGCACCGTCAAGAGCCTGGAGGTCATTCTCACGCAGGAAATACTGCTGACTGGACTTGTTCGTCATGGCCATCGCATCCATAGCAGATTTTGGATACTGGTTCGGTTGTCTTCCTCGGCCCAGATAGATTGAGCCAAAATTGTTACCACCAGTGATCTCACCAGGTAGAAAGAAATTGTTCTTTCCAACACTGCGAGCACACTCTCGGTAATGGCTCGATATATCTCCGAGAGCATCCACAGTAGACTGAGTCGCCTTGTCGTAACGGAAGCCGTCAATATCCAGAGCCTTAATGATGTTACAGGAGTGAACCTTGATCCGCTCTCTAACACTGGGATGCCATTCACGGAGACGATCTTGAACGGACGCGAACTTCGCCAGCTCACGCTGCCAATCAGGGTAGACACCAAAAGCCTCCCTGTCACCGTATTGATCGAAATCACTGTTATAACATCCAACGAGCTCATCACGAACGCTTTGATCGACGGGGTAACCGGTTTCGTTCCAGAAGCGAGGGTAGTCGCAAGTATCGTTATAGTCGTTTCCGGGGAGGAAGTCCACATACTGGCGTTCGGATTTCCAGATAGTCTTGTGTTCCTTGACTGAGAATGGAGTCGTCACGTTCAAGTAATTCTCGAAACCGATCAAATCACCCAAGCTAGAGTCTCGTCAGTCCGTCCATGCTTGATGAGGCTGTGCGAGAAAGTCCCTCACTTACGTTGCGATAGTGTTGTCGAAGAGGACATACATCCCGCGCTTGTGAATCTCATCGATGGCATTTCTCCAGGTTTGAATGGTACCATAATGTTGATCGAGGAGTGTAGTATCGAGAGCAGAATAGCCGTCCGATCCCCAAGGCTGATTCATCAATATAGTACCGGCGAGATAGATGCCCTGTGTTACAATATTAGTACGTCCCGTGCCTCGAAGCAAGAAAGACGGATTGTCAATCTGTAGAAGAAGGTATCGAACCTTGATTCCCAAGCCTTGTAGATAGTCCAGCGTGTCCACCAGTCCAACCGCATCACCACCATGGCGCATTTGAGTTGAATCCAAGTCATGTTCGAAGAGGGTGCCGTTGATATTATCGTTCGTGGGGTCACCATTGACCCACCGGTCAATGAAGAGTGTGTAGAAGGGGAACCGCCAGTTCTTCGGAGAAGGTGTATACTTGTGGCCCGGCCACGACGGAGCTGTATACTCGGCTGGATTGGTGGTGTCGTTGTTCACGTTCAAGTTGTAGTCAACCAAGGATTCTTCATAGGGCCAGCCTGAGACTGTGGCTGCGAGCAATGCTGCCACACAGCCGGAGAACCCCCACTTCATCGTCGACGGCTATTTGAATCAACCGTTTCCTTTTTCCGTCTGTTCTATATACTCGACATATGTTCGGAACAATGAGAAAGTCTTGAGAGAAGGAGAATATCAAGACAACTGCTCGGGTCGAGGGGTCTCGTGGCAAGGGGAAAAAGTCTGCTCAAAAGTATCGTAGCTTGTCTTCGTCCCTCTTTATGTTATTGGAAATCTATCCAAGGATGACGATAGCGAATGAGAATTGAGAGATAAACAGGGAGGAGTGGCAGAGAAACCCACACTAGATGCAGCTGCTGTGGCGGCAACGCAAGAATAGAATAAACATTTATGTGGAACTGAAAAAAGAAAAGAAAGAAAATGGCGAAGAGAGCAATATGCCCGAGTATATGTCCGATTTCTTGCAGGAAGAATAGATGTCCCAAGTGGATCTGTGAGAGGAAGCATGATTAACAATGATATACAGCTAGAGAGCGAGAAACCAATATCGTCTGATCGAGGAAAAAGAAACGAAGATCTTTACCCAGCAGACTCAAGCACCTGGCTGCTGCGGCTGCTTCCAAGCAAGTAAGCAAGCAAGCAGTCAGCCAGTCAGCCAGCCAGCCAGCCAGATAGAATGGCGGACATTTGGAGGGAGGCATTGCGGCGATCTGGATTGTGCTATGGGAGTTTGGGCCCATTTTTCCAGACCAGCCACCAGAATGGCTATGATGACTGGAGTCACATTATTCGCCGCTGAAAACGATTGAGTGCAGGAAGCCATTAGCTTTGATGGGAAGCTGGGGGGTGAGTAGTAGTGCTAGTGGAGGATATGATCGGAGACACGAAGCGAGGACGAAGCAGTTTCGTCCGAGCTCTGTGTTCGGTCTGAATGTTAGTGAGGTTGCCACGGAGTACTGTGTACCAGTAACTTTGGTAGCCGGTGGCTAAAGTGTGCAGTGAGTAGGTACTCCAGAGTATACGATAAGTGGGTAGTAATGTACAGTACTAGGCACCTAATAGGCAAATATGTAGTACTATGGAGCGATGTAGCTATGTAGCTATGTCGCTATGCCGCTATACAACTATGTACACTGGCTACGTACTGTAGCTGGGGTATGTATACGTAAAACCGGTACTGGTAATCACGCGGGCCGTTACTGAGCCCGTACCTTGCCTCTTTGGGACCGAGTCCAAGAGTCAGTGCAGTGGAGCGGAAGCGCAAAGACCACTAGCGCCATCTAGGCAGGGCGATCATCTTCAAGGTTCAACTCAACCTCTGTCAGACACACCTGAAATGGAATCCAGAAAACCAGGCATGTCCTCTGATATATCAGATGCTTTATCCAAACTAGTCCCAGCTCCTTGAACATGTTGAACATGGACCTCGTTTTCACTTACCCTCAGACCCCCATCGTACATGCCGATCATGCTTCGGTGTGTATCCTTCGAGGACAATCTCATGCAAGATATAACGCACGATTTGATAGTGCCTTTGATAGGACATGCCACCGGAACTCGCCCCAGTGCGTCGTCTATCAGCAACTTTGCCGGGTTGTCGGTACGATAAGCTCACCCCGTTCGTTCAGAGCAAGGATAGGGATCTACGGTACATCCCACCTTGATGGCAGTGTCTCCTGTACATACCGATCGAGCGTTCGATGCCTGCTGCCGATTCACAGTACGCGTGTTCAAAGAGACTTGTTGTAGACAAAGACAACAACAACAAAAGAAACAACCCATCGACCCTTAGCTTTGCTTTCGTGTTCGCCCTTTCCGAATTCAGTCAGACAGGCTACAAGTCAAGTCGGATAACGTTCCACAAGGCAGTTCGAAAACCAAGACAGAGGAGGGCCAGAAGGAAAAGGCCGCGACAGAACTGGTAAACACAAATAGATACATGCACGCTTCTGTCAAGCTGAGAGGGAAATATCAACTTCATGTCTCTTCTATAATTAAACTTCAATATATGCTGCCCACGCGGCGCAAACCTATCAGCAACAGCGACGTATTCACGCACCACTCCATCATTACGACAAGATGAGATTTCTAATCGGCTGGCCAATCGCGACTGTACGAAGCCTCCGAACATCATCTCACAATCTTACGCGATGGGGGGCTTCGTTAATCAAGGATTTGACTTCCTAAAATATCTTCTATCATTTCGCCGGCTATTTCGAGCGGATAACATCGTCTTCCGTCTTCGGTAAGCTAGATCTCTGGGTACTGCACAATCGCCAGACAGCCACCGTGTAGACGTGGTAGCTCATAATGCTGTAACCGTTGCTCAACGGACATCCCGGGATGACCGAGGGAGAAGAGACGCAACTTGTATTGGTGACACACCTGGGGCCATTGCTGGTATGCAAAGCCTCAGCTCGAGCATCAGTTACAGTGTCAAGCAGGTATGTCCTAAAAAGCTATTGGTGTTTTGGTCGATGTCTACAGATCAAAATTCGAAGTAGTGGGCCCGTGTCAAGAAGCTCGACCATCAGCCACTGCAGGCGACTGCTACGAGCCGAATGTTGGAAACAGTTGATCATGGAATTCACGGAGAGAAATGCAATGACCTGAGAGCAGAAAACCCCCCATTTCTCACGCGGTATCGTCACCAAAGAGGGGGGGAAATATGAGACGGGGCGGTTCAAATCATGAATACGCCGTGCACAGCGATATATATCGTATAAATATCGATCATTCATGCTACAACGAACAATTTCATTGTCCCTTGCTTGCTGACTTGAGAAGAGCAAAACAAGAAATGTGAGTACTTGGAGGCAATGCCTCGTTCCCATGCTCCTCGAATATGAGCTAATCAAACGACTAGATATCTTCTACGTAGGGTGGTAGTCAGAATATAGGTTCAAACCCTGCAAGGAGACTCAGCGGCGGGAGTCTCAGGAACCGGGCAAGGATTGGCTGCCCCCTTAGTTATCTGGTAGTACTCGGTACCGAGGCTCCGATCCTTGTCAGTGAGGAGATTTTATGACGAATTGAAAAGCCCCTCATCATGCTCCGTAGGCGTTAAGTCTACTTTGCGATCTTGGGAACTCTTAACTTGTCGATTGGACCAGGATTGTGCGGCAACAAAAAAGGATACACATACATACACAGTACAATGTCAGCCCATCGATGAAGGTCTGGTTCCAGGATTGATACGAATTTTCGTGCGACCCAGGAGCAAGGAAAACTCAATTGGGAGCGGGGGCCAAAAAGTTTCCAAGGTTCAATCGCGAGCCTGAATGGCGTGTTATCAACTTCTTATAGTCTGGCCAAGCTGTGTGTATTGAGTTCCGGGTTTAAGGGCGGGGATGCGGATGATGTATCCCAAGTGTTTCCCAAACGGTACCATAGCAATTGCAATCGCTCGGTACAAGTGAGGGTCGGAGATTTTTGACATCGGCTCATCTTCGAATTTACTGTCTTCCCTTTCCCTTGACCCCTTGCTTCGAAGTCGTTGGCTGCCTGCCTAATTTGTGGCGTTGGGACTTGGGACAACTGTCAAATCATAATGACATGTCACTTCTAGACCAGAACTCAACCGACTACCCTAATGGGGACCTCAGTTCTGTACTAACTTCCGGTACCTAGAAAATCGTAGATTGGTTCACTGTGAGGGCAATCCAAGTTCTGTGGATTCACAGTCAGCAGGTGTCGGGGTTGTGAACTTTTTTGCACGACAAGTCTGGCAAATCCGACCAGTCCTTCTGTATAAAAGCGGGTGGGGATACGAGGCTCAAAGCCTCGGCGACCGTTAGCCCTAAAGGCCTCGCACCGATCATCGCGGCTCAAGTCGTCTATCAGGCTCTTATTGGATGCTTAGCACAATCATCTCATGTAGCCGGAGGAAAGCGCCTTCCAGACCGCTTGTCGGGACTCAGAACCACCCACTATTGATATGAACCGTGATCAGCAATGTATGCAGCCTACCCACTTCATGTTTATGTCAGTCATCAGTAGACTAATCTCTGGCCTTACACTAGAAGTGCGATTCTCTCTTCCTTTCTTTTCTTTTTCTCTTGTCGAATATCTAGAAATTTGCGTCATCGTGTTTAATCAACAGCACGGGCCTCACGGCGATACAGCTCATACCGGTATTGTTCGTCGAGTCCGAATTGACTCAACGTTCAAAATCAAAATAGCCACGGAGCTCGGAATATCTTAATGAACCCAGCTATGTCTCTCAGTTGGATCAAGAGGCCTATGGGAGCTTTTCTTCCCTCCATTAGGTAGGAAGGATTGGACTACCCACTCATTGCAGTCTTACTACTGCACAGTAGAGGAACTCGTGCTGTCCATCCCCATACTCAGCCGAACGGTAGCAGGTCGCGCACACTATTCTTCATGATACTAAGCATTAACAAATATTGTCCCATACTTAGTTCATCTTGTGCGGAAGTGAATCTTTGCCAGAGACAGCAGTTCTGTGCCCCTCAAGCGAGAGCATAATCTTTCCTCATCATGTCCTGGCTGCTGCTGCCAGGTTATCTACAGCTAAAGGAGCGGTCGGAGCATCAAATTCAAATTTGAGATCACCTACTATAGAGTGACAAGGCGCAGTGGCAATCAAGAAGCCCTTGCCGGTCATAATCGGTAGCAACCCCGTCGCGTTCCCGAGTCCGGGACCAGAACTTCCGAATTGGGGGTTCAACGCAACGATTCAACATGCGGTGTGACCAATGCCTATCAATAATTAATGCACCTCCAGTTGGAACTGCGCAGCGCTTGTTCTGCGGTTATGCGATATGCACAATAGTATAACGCCATCGGTGGGGAGGCGGGAAACTATTTAGCAGACTTTGCTGCTGCATTACCGCTCCTGTGTAATGGGAAGGTTGCATGCGAAAGCTTTGCTTATCAGCTCGTCAAGATGAGCTCTCAAGAATAAACCTGATCACCCAGCGTGCAGGTGTCGGGTATGTCTCATAGGCACATGGTCGGGACCGGTGGAGTCTCGACAGTACGTATCATATGCATTGGCACTGCAGGCTCACTGGGGCCTAGAAGAGGGTTGACCCGGTCTAACTCGCATGAGC